AATGCACTCTTTGCTTGCTGCAATGTCTCCGATGTATCTATTAAGTAAACTACAAAATGTCAGGGCGCTGCTTTTGATTGACCTTGGCCTAGGACCTTCAGCTGGTGTCTGCAAGTCTGACCCAAGCAGGCATCACAAGCATCAATAAAGCACGACTTGTGTTGCCTTTTATTGACAAGAAAAAGACAAATGTCATGGTACCGCGTTTTACGGTCTTGATCTTTGACTTGATCTTTGATCTTTGAGTTGTTCTTAATGCATCTTGAGCGTACGTTCAGATTATTTCGAAGTTTTCCAAGCTGTTCAGCACGATCAAACAACGACGCCAAACACAATACAGCGGACCGTAAGGAGTTGCCGCATGCAGCAGCGGCAGAAACATTCAACATAGGCTGAAACCATCGACGCAGCAGAAGGAGGAAGCACGTCAACGACCTAACATAAGTCAGCAACAAGACAAAATCACGGCCTGATGCAAAACAAGAGCAGACGCGACGGCAATATAGAAAGCAAGCAGGCGAAAACACATCAACCTGGCAAACAGCACAACATGAGGTACAAAGTCGCCTTCAATTATGGGGTTGGAGGTGGGGGGGGCGGGGGGGTATGGGTTGGAGGCGTGCCTGCGCGGGCCGCCGCGAGGATTTTTGCGTGCCGTCGGCCGTCACATTTGCTGTCACGCCTGTCAACAAGAGTGAATTTATAACGAGGAGCCCATTGTTCAGCATACGAGCCAGATAATGGTAGTGCACGACTCGGCACATTGTGATTCCGGCACACCCGACATCAACACCATGCATGTGAGCCACAGGGCTAGGATGAAGGGGTGACCGGGGCATTGGTGGGATGGTAGGTCCGGTCAGGCACCATGAACAGCTGTCTCCCGTACATGGTTGTGTGCTCTTAACCACCGTACCCCACCTCCACCTTCTTAGTTTATGATGACACTTAAACGGAGCAAAAAAGAAACCGAATGCGCTGACAATGTGCCCAACTGGCAAGGGTTCCATACAACTGGCGAATTACATTGCGAGCAACAAGCACACCTTGCTCATCCTTGGCTCGCACGCGGAAGGGACTCCCCCCCCCCCCCCCCGCTTTATCCAGCGCCTTGGCATTATAATTGGCTCGTCTGCGTGAGTCCTCGTAAAGTTAACTTAAATTTATTCATCACATTTCAACCATTCAATTGAGCCACGTTTAAGTCCCATTTTAAAAAATCAGATCACATTAATTTGTCAGCTCGGCACCGACGCAGCTACTGAGCCGTCATCAGGTGTCAGAAGCTGGACAGTGACTCGTTCCCTCGCCTTATCTCCAGGGTGACAGCTCCCTGTTCGGACGACTTTCCCGGGTTCCGTCCACGCAGGGCGGCCCATCATCGATTTGGCCATGCGCACCGCTTGCAGCTTTCCGCTGCCGCGCACAGCTGAACAGAGCAGCGGCAGCGCCTCGTCCAGCACAGAGGCGTCGCCTCCGGTACTTCGGCGACCTCGCCTCCCACCTGCCGAAGCGAGCTTGACACCGCCCCACGGCGCGTCCCTCAGAGGCCTGGAGGTAGACAGCGCGCGCGATGGGACGGTGGAGTCCCTCGGCAGACGACGGGCGCCTGGTGTGACCTGCGTTTACGCCTTATGGTCTCCTCGGCCGGCGCGCTCTGGAGACTCGGCCTGACCGGCCTGTCCTACAACCTGGTTCCGCGTCACCTTTTTTATGAGCATCGATGGCGGGATCTCGAACGATATTCGCCCGTCTGTCACGCCACATGTACAGTGTAAATCGTGCGGCGACCACGCCCGTGTCCGCTGGCGGACGGCGGGCCCGGTGCAGCGAGGGCTACCGAGCGGGCGGCGATGACCCAACCAGCATTCCCTTAGATGTCAGTCCCACATGCTCGGCGAGCAGCGCGCCCCGCAACTTGTCGGCGGGTCGTGAGCCCTGGGCTGCTCGTCCGTCCACGCCGTAAGGTACCGTCATCTGCCGGCGGGTCGCAGGTGCCCGCGCCGCCATGGCGCACCGTCGGGTGCTGCCTCTGCTGCGATTGCCAACGTCGGCTGGTAGATGGCGGCTGCGTCTCTTTCCGAGCGCCATCTCGGACGGTGCCCTGCGAGTGACCTCCCCTAGTCTCGCAGTCGCGGACGGTCTCTCGAGATGTAGCGGGCTCGGCGGGCCTCGCAGTTATGCCTCGGCGTCAACGGCAGGGGATCTCTCTCCGATCTCTAGCCAACAGCCGGAGATCCCGTCCGCTTCGAAAAGCTCGATGCCGTTCTCCCGCGAGCCTCCGGTGTCCGCAGCGGACCCCTCCCAGACGGGAGTGCACTGATCAGACAGCAATCTAGCCGGGCCAGCGACACGGAGAGGAAAAATTCAGAACGGGAATACACGCGCTCGTTAACAGAATCCGTGTAGCGCGTGCAATGGACGTAGCTACAGCTAAAATCCGCGCTGAATTTAACAGCAAGACTTGCGGGAAAAAACGAAAAACCACAACTAACATTATACGCATGCGGGTACACTGCTAAACCAGTTAATCTATCGGGACGGACAAGTGCTCAAGCAAAGAAGGGGGACAGCAGGCGCATAACGACGTTCCTGCGGGCGCTCTGGACGGACCTTGGCGAAGTTCAGGCCTTCCACGGCGGATCAAAAGAATAGAAAAAAGGGAACGAAAACTAAACGGACAGCGAGTCCAAGCATGTGCTGACGTCCCTCGAGACCATCAGGTTCATCGGCCTAGGCGAAGCGATCAATAGCGAATGGGGAGAAAAAAGCGTGGTCGTGAGGGAGGCCGAGCATGCGTGCTGGACGGGCCCCTGGAAGGTCTGACCATCTCGAGCTCTGCAGCGTGCCTCACCTGACCTCGCCGTCCAGTGCAGCAGGTGCATCACCTGACCTCGTCAGCCAGTACAGCGGGCTCACCTGACCTCGTCAGCCAGTACAGCGTGCCCCACCTGACCTCGTCAACCAGTACAGCGTGCCCCACCTGACCTCGTCAGCCAGTATAGCGTGCCTCACCTTATCTCGTCAGCCAGTACAGCGTGCCTCACCTGACCTCGTCGTCCTGTGTAGTGTGCCTCACCTGAACCCGCTGTCGCGGCCGCAGGGGATTTCTGCTGACGGCCCCGAAGGTGTTCATAGCCAACACCGCAGAACGCTTCTGTTTGACGTTCTTCAACCTGCGTGGCAAGGTCCGTGTGTCCGTTTACCTGCTGCCCAAGAAGACCAGCACCGCCTACGACAGTGTGGTGCAGCTCTCTCGCACCTTCCGCGTCTACAGGCCCCGTGAGTTCTGTGCATCTGGTGCTGGGGAGACTAGGTATAGTCTGGCGACGTGGTCTATCTGCGGTCTACCATCTGGTGCTGGGGAAGCTAGGTATAGTCTGGCGACGTGGTCTGTCCGCGGTCTACCGTCTGGTGCTGGGGAAGCTAGGTAGGTGTGGTGACGGGGTCTGTCCGCGGTCTACCATCTGGTGCTGGGGAAGCTAGGTAAGGTGTGGTGGACGGGGTCTGTCCGCGGTCTACCGTCTGGTGCTGGGGAAGCTAGGTATGTTCTGGTGGACGTGGTCTGTCTGTGCTTTGCCGTGTGTTTAAGGAACACAGCGCACGTCGTTTGCGCACGTGTTATGGAGTGCCGCTGACTACAGTGCTCTCATAACACCCAAGGGCGTTTGCACAACCGGCATTGAAATCCAACGCTGTCGGGCAACTTGTCTTTCCAGCATGTTCACCACTCCCCGGGCTCTTTCACGGTACTTCTGGTTTCGCGATTTGCCAATCATGACTTGATATGTTTCGCGTCGATCCTTGCTGAGAAAACACCCTGTCGCCGCGTCGAGCTTACAAGCATTATCGAATTCAATGACCTTGAAGGTGGACACTTACCGCAAAAATATCAGAACGTGCAAGCAGTTCATGAACGCTATGCTGCATTGTCCCAGCATCACCCACGCCCACATGTCTGCATCGTGTGGTTTGAGCATTGCGAGACATTAACACAATCACCTCCGTCATGAACGGCAAACCCATCAGAGAATTCACCACGCTAATGCAAGACATGTGGGGAAGCAGGGCGGATCCAGGTTTTCGTCAAAGGGGGGGGGGCACGCAGCATTGTAGCCCCCTGGAAGTTGGGGCCCCCCTACAAAAATATCCTTGCTTTTCGGTCATTACATTTTAAAACAAGTCGTGTGTAATATATATATATATATATATATATATATATATATATATATATGCATATATACGTATATATGCATGTATGTATTTATTTATTCATTCATTTCATAGATACGGAAACCCATTTTTCTGTGCACGGTCTTATAAAGCTGGGCGTGTTACGCACGCATGCACATAGAACTCATTCACTCTCTACAAATCATGTTCAGTGGTGTCGTTTTGAGGCTAAGTGTTTCGGAACAACAGGCAAAATAAACTTGAGTTAGTTGCTAGCAACCATCAAAGCCAAGCATGGACTTGAGTCCTAGCTTATGCTTTACGGCTAGCCGGCTGGGCGATGTAATCAGTTGATGCCTGATGACTAGTGCAGGATTTTTCCTCAAGGAGTATAACAAATCCTAGCATTCGAAATATGTTAACAGCGTGATGCAGAAGCGTCATAAATGTCACACACTCAATAGTAGCGTCATAAATGTCACACACTCAATAGTAGCGTCATAAATGTCACACACTCAATAGTAGCGTCATAAATGTCACACACTCAATAGCTAATGAAAATGACACATACGACGTCGGCGGCATGTGAAATTACGTTCGGCAATTGCGCGTAAAAATCAGCACCGCATATTCGACCGCTGCTCTGAGGCGAAGACACCAAAACCAATAGGACGAAACCTGAGCGATCATGGGTGTCGCAGGAGGC